GAAAAGAATGTGTGTGAATATGTATACGAAATATGAACAAGGAAAAAAACAGTTCAACAGAGACTGATCGACAGGCCTAAGATATTCCTCCGGTAGATCTGAATACCGCCTAAAATCTGCAAATCTGCATATCGCCCAAACCGAAAAAACGTAAATATAAGGAACCGGAACCAGCAAGAAATCATCCCAGGCAAGGTAACTGGTCTCAAGCGTGTTCCTTTCTGCGTTCTACCCGACGATGCTACAGCAAAACATGTTCGCACGGCGCCGCTAGCAATCTAATGTTACGGTTACTCACGACCCGGAGAGAGACAGTAAACCACGACGCCAGAAGCAGCGGCACTGTTCTTAGGGAAATGAAAAATAAACGGCAGAGTTTCCCAAAGTGCAGCGGTGTCGTTAACTTTTCGAAGATGCAGCCCCACGCGGTACCATTTCAGACTGGGACGACGATACAGCTATCGCCCCCCCCTACTCCCCCTCGCCCCCTCCCCATCCCAACCCAAAGCAACGACGACACAGCTAATGTCGTCACCCTACTCCCTCCTCCCAATCCTCACCTGAGAAACACCATCCCACTCCCCTCCCTCATTTCCCAACCCGCCATAGCAGCGAAAACCACAACACAGCTAATGATGCCACCCTATCCCCCCCCACCCCCACCCCCGCCACGTCTGTAGCGGAGCGCCGTCGCCGAAAAGGGTAATCTCACGGGACATGTGAGAGGCCGACACGCAGGCGCGCTGAGTTATCGCGGCCGCTGATCACGGAGGTCATCAGCTTACGACCCAGATTATCGCGACTAACTACATGAAGATATTCTAATGACAAAAGATATGAAAATGAAAATGAAGAAGCAGACGAGCGGCGCACGGGAAAAAATCGTTCATCACCCAGCGCCAGCATCATCATCTTCGCCCGAATCACCGTAATCTCGTGTCTTCACAAAAATATATACACACTATATATACACACATATCCATCAGGTAACATGTGCGTGAGTGCGCGCGCGTAAGTCTAGAACACTCTTCCATCAAGCCAAGGCGAGCACCGTGGTCTGTCACTGAAATTCCAATATTTTACCATCATTTACCTGGATTGCTGGAAGGAATATGACATGATTCTAAATTAATAAATGGACGCATTCATATAAAACTTATTTTTTCTGGAATGGGCAGCATCGGGGACATAAAGGGACATGTTTATCTATTTGTGGTTAAGGCCCCTCCCTTTCTCCACCCCTCCCCTTCAGCTCTCTCTCTCTCTCCTCTCTCTCTCCTCTCCTCTCCCTCTCTCTCCTCTCCTCCTCTCTCCTCTCCTCTCCTCTCTCTCTCTCTGCTATCTCCCTCCTCCCTCCTCCCTCTCTCTTCTGTCTCTCTCTCTCCTCTCTCTCTCTCTCTCTCTCTCTCTCTCTCTCTCTCTCTCTCTCTCTCTCCTCTCTCTTCTCTCTCTCTCTCTCTCTCTCTCTCTCTCTCTCTCTCTCTCTCTCTCTCTCTCTCTCTCTCTCTCTCTCTCTCTCTCATTCAAACACATTATGTCTGACATTTGATTTATCCCCTTTTCTTGCTTTCTTCCGAGAGAATGACTTTCCAAAATTGCGGAGGGTAAAATCGAAAAAAAAAAATCAACATTTCATCCTAGAGAAGGCTAAAATATTAAGAAAGATATTAAGGAAACGGTAAAAAGAATGACACGGAAAAGTAGAACACAGACGACACGGGAAGAGGAGAAAAATAATCGGAATGCAAAAAGACTAAGAATCGTGTAGCAGAGAAGGCAAAGCAACAACAATAACAACAACAACAACAAGGCATATGGCGTGCCTGAAAAGATCAAAACTTATACGACACGTGTACGCCGAAGAGAGAAATGAGGACCTTCTCCATAGCTAAGCGGAGGGGGCTGTGAGGGGGGGAGGGGAGTGGAAAGATAAAGGGTTAAGGGGGTGAGGGTGGAAGGGGAAGGGAGTGGAGGGGGGGGTGGAAGGGAGTGGTAGGAAGGCCGGAAGGGGGAAGGGGCAGGAGGGACTGGTCAAAGGTCTTAGGGAAATGAGGATTACCACCGTCCCTTCCCTGCAAAGACTGTCGCACAATGAACAACGAGAAATACGTGTCGCAGTCACCCTCGTCCAGGCGCCGCGTCGGCCGTTACGTGGCCATAACGAAACGCAGAGAGAAAGAGCGAAAGAAAAGAAAAGAAAAAAAAAAAAAAAAAAACACTCGTCTACGGGGGTCAGCCAGTTCATAAGGGCCATTGGCACATTTCTCGGTCGTGGCGAGGTTCACCAAGCCCGAATTAACAGAACCGTGACTCAGCAGTAAGCGGGCGGGATGGCCGGGTGCTTGAGACGTCCGCGTGACGGGCCCGTGTTACTGCCTTAGAACTGCGAATAATTGCAAAGATGGAGAGAATTTAAGCGGATAGCTGGAGGTCCTATTTTCGGCTACTTAAAGGCTCCCCTTCATTCTTCCCCTCCTCCATTCTCCCCCCTCCTCCCCCTCTCCCATTCCCTCCCTCTCCCTCTCACTCTTCCCTTCCTTTTCCTCCCCCTATCCTTTTCCCCCTTCCCCCTCCTTTCTCCCCCCTCTCTCTTATCCTCTCCTCCCTTCCCCTCTTCCATTCCCTTCCTTCTCCTCTCCCTCTCCCT